CTTTTACAAACAGACTAAAGGGATAGCCATGGGAAGCAGAGTAGCACCCCCCTTGGCTATCACCTTCATGCACACGGTGGAATCCCTCCTACTAGCGTCACCAATGGAACAGCCATCTATCTACCTTCGCTACATCGATGACATCTTTTGCGTATGGACCCACGTCGTAGAGGCTCTAGAAAGGTATCACAAATTTGTCAACTCATTCCACCCCTCACTCAAGTTCACTCTAGAAAGAACCGACCCAACCCAAATCTCAAGTGTCCCATTCCTCGATACCCTGATCACAGTCCATCCGACAGGACAGTATGAAACGGAACTCTACTTTAAGCCAATGGCGTCACCAGTCATCATCCATTTCACATCAGCTCAACCAATGCAAGTCAAGTTAGCTGTCCTTAACTCGGAACTAACGCGGGCTAGAAAAAATGGCTCGAACCAAAAAGCGATAGAGAGGGGAACCAAAAAAGTGGAGAACATCTTTCTAATCAACGGCTATCCGAAACGCGTCATCAAGCGCGCCATTTTCAAAGTCAGCCACACATCAGATCAGGAGAGGAGAACTCGGAAAGACAGAAACCAAAACACTACCTTCATCTCACTTCCTTTCATAGACGATGACCTCTCACGTAAGATCAACGCAAAGGTGAAATCTTCCGGACTCCCTATCAAAATTGCATGGCAAAAAGGACAAACGATCTCCAGTATTCTTACGCGATCGGCACTTCATCCCCCTCAATGCCCGTCAGGAAACAAAACGTGTAATGCCTGTGAAGCAGGCATTCGAGGAAAATGCACATCCAAAAACGTCGTATACAAAATTACCTGTGCCACATGTCAAAACGCTACTTATATAGGAGAAACAAAGAGACCCATCCGACTTAGATTCAATGAGCACTTACGGGATGCGAAAAACAAGACAGCAGACACTCCTTTCGGTGACCACGTACGTACCCAACATCCAGACGTCATCATATCAGCGTCATCTATGCAGCTACAGATCATGCGTAGATGCAAAGATGTAGCAGAACTTAAGATCGCTGAATCAAAGTACATCCGTGACCTACGCCCAACACTCAACACTCAAACAGCATCTTGGAAGCTGATAGCTCCACCACCCTACGGACCATGATAGTAGCAGAGGTATAAGTATACGAGCACGAAGTACAAAGACGTCCAAAGACGAGTACAAAGACGTCCCACTCCGCCTGTTCACGCTTGTAAGTATTCAATATGCATCTTTATTCATTCACACACATTCTCACCATTCATTGTCTCATTCCTTTAGCTGTACATTCATTCATTCATTCATTCATTCATTCATTCATTCATTCATTAAGTTACTTACTACTCAGGTCCAAAGCAATAGGTACCATGTGTAATATATATGCTCATGCTTCAAATTTAATAACTCAATTCCACTTAAATCACACGACTTCTCAATCATACACACGATAGTCAGTCACACAAACACAACCCCCCCCACACACACACACCCACACACACACACACACACAACATTAAGAACGTTCTTTACAAGCTCACACACATACTCCTCTCACAAATATGCTTATTAATAATTTCTATTCTTTTGCATCGTTAATATTGGTACAAGCTACTTGCATACATTCGCAGTCATCTAACTTTGTATCACACTCTCAAAGAAGAGGATGGTCGCTAAATGTGTCAGGATGTGTTAAAAGGCGAGATCACAATTTTCAAAATGTATCTTTTAGGAGATCTGATGATGGGCTATGCCTGAAACTGTTATCTCTTTCTTCTCGGTCATAATTTAGAATACATTCATTATTATGAGGCTTCGGTTTTCTTTCATCATTATACTTTTCCCTACTTTTATCGTTTTGGTTTAACGAGGCCAAACACTTTGAATGCATGGTGCCCATCTCGAGTAAGTCCTATACTGAAAACACTTATTTGCTGCGGAAACGGCATTCGCTCCTGTTCATGTTTGCCAGGGAGGCCTTCTGCTGTCAGTCAGGGCTCCCTTTTTTCTCCCTCGTCGTAGGATACCTTCTGCCGTCAGACCGTTAGTATAACCCGTCAGTCAAGAACAGACGTCAGTCAGGTCTCTGATCTGAACCTTGACCAACCAATTTTTGGCGGGCTAGCAACCAGTGCTGGTGAACTGACGAAACGCGGACGGATCGGACGTCGTGCTGTTTATGAATACCAATACGTCCATTTCAGCCTGTGCTGTGAACACTATACTCTGTTCCGTTTCAAGTTTGCAGTCGAAGCGCCCTGCTGAAAGCAGTGCGTGATTTCTGTATATACAGCTCTTACATTTTAAGACGCAAATTCTTGAGCGGAGGAGCGATCTGCCGAAGAAACTCCAACTGCAAGCTTGATATGGAACAGACTATAGGCGTCGTACTGGCCGGAGCTATTCAAACAGGCATCTGAATCGAGCGGTTTAGGGTGGACATAGGACAAGCTTCTTTTTTTTTAGCTCGCCACTGGAGTACCTAATTTGGCTCTACTCATGTTAGTAAATTGTTGTCTTTAAGCCTTTTCCATGAATTCCTTTCCATTGGCATTTTTACTGTATTTTTTTTTTTCGGTCGGATCATCACTGCAAGGTGCGTCATACAACCCTGCTTTATGGTAAATGGCTATCGAATGCGCCATCGCAAGTTCCCAAATAGTGCCAGTGTCGGCGCCCCGGGGCTAATTTACCACTGATCGGGATCACATTGACGGCTGACCAGTGTCGGACCACGCGGGCAGTGGTATGCGCCGACCACTGCGGCTGCCCCGGCGGACAGCTTGTTTTGAGACTGGACGCGTCTCTCGTTATGGGACTGCCGGTGGCCACTGGAATGGGGTCAGGGGGTCGCCACAGAGTGGTTTTTGACCCCCGGCCACCGATCTGCTGAGGCATGCGGAATACCGAGACGCTGCTTACTACGTACAGGGGCATGGTATTGGTGTATTGGTGTAAGAATTCATCATAGCTCGCTGACGGGTGTTGCCGTCTTTTGGTAATGCTGGGTCTCAGCTATGTTTCTACGTCTTCTGTTTCCAATTTTAACGAGCCATCGGCTCCAACGAAGGGTGGCTAACGCATTCGGTTTCGCGCCTTCACACGATGTTTGCTAACCCTTTCGCCACGGGCTTCACTGGTGAGCAGTAGCGTGGCATCTTGCAAGCACGTCTATGCACGGCTAGGTGCGGCTCGAACGCTGCGCTCTGCGTATCTACAGGTTTTTAGTGTGGCAACGTGATGTCATCTAACCGCCTTGACCCGGTAACCTGATCGTGGATTAACGAGCGGGCCAATACTACGGATTTGCTGGGCTCCAGGCGTTACATCGCCACCGTTCTCAGAGGCGATTCCGTGTATATTATGCAAGGTGCGTTCTTGGACACTTAAAAAGTGTACTTACCTGGCGCTTGAACGGCTTCTTCATTAGCGGATCCAGACAGGCTGGGCTCGACGCTGTGAGAGGCATGTTGCCCCGCCCAAAATACCTTATTTGTAAAAAAAAAACGCCCCACGTTTCGCTTTCTTTTGTGTTTCAATTCAGTGAATAACATTTTTTTTTAACTTTTTGATTGCATAGGTACGAGAGGAAAGAAAGTTTTTTTTTTCATCAATTTCAGTCGATATGTGGGGCATTTTACCCTGATCCTGCAGTGCCTCATACCTACATGGTTCGCCAATATCTGATCAGGCGTTGATCATGGTCAGGAGTGTCAGGACAATATTTTCTTCAGAGATAATCTTTCTGGTAATCTCAATTTGCCCCGTTCCGCCGTCTCTTTCGGCCGAGTGTCCATTCTCTGGAGTTTGGCACTGAATTTTCTTCATCTTTGCGTCGTCTCTGCTTGCGTAATTCCGGGTTCTTGTTTAGGTGTCTTGCATGCTTAGTCTCGTGTTATTGCAAGGTGCCCAACGACGGCAGCTTCACATTATCTTTCCGTATCGGGCGGGTACGACGGAGGCGACGGCTAGTGTTGCGTACCGCCTTATCGGAAATTACGTAAACCGTTTGATTGCCTTGTTTCAGACCAGTGTACAATTTTGGGTCCTCTTCGTATCTCCGATGGAAATGCGATTCCGTTTCATCAGCCACTCTGCTCACCATTTCATTGTGTAGAATGGTTCTTTGCCGAGGTGACTGATCAAACGTTGCGCTCCGTGGTCAAGGCGTCTCCAACCGTTGCCATCCCACCATCGCGTCGTCATGTTTTACAGCACTCTGTATGTGTCGAGTTTCGCAAAAAGTGATTCCCACACAGTTTATCTGGCGTTTTTTGCCGACCGTTTTGTGAGTCAGCAGCGGCCTGTGGCGGCGGCGCCCGGCCGGCGGCCGTCGGGGTCAAACTCAGGTGACCCCGTGAGTGTCCCGTGTACGCTGCATGCCGCCCGACCCTCGCGTGGGAGGGAGGAAGGGTCGCCCGCCCGGCGCCCACACGATAACGAGCTGGCGCTGCGGAGATGGCCTGCTCCTCCCATTGTCTGTGAGGTCTCTGTGACGGGTGTGAGCGGTCGCGGTGACCGGGTGGGTTGCCCGGCGGGTGGTGTGTGAGCTGCGCCGTGTTTGGAATGTGCTGCGGGGTTTTGTGAGGCTGGGTCACGGTGACTGTTGCCGGGCGGCGGAGCGGTGACAAGTGTGGCGATTGCCGCGCTTGTCGATCGTCGTAGAGGTGAGATGCAGTATTCTGTCGGCCGTTTCTGAAGCTTTAATTTCACAAGTTAACCATTCATCCATCATACGGTATATCAATCGTCATCAGTGCCATTGTTAGTAAATTTGAGAGGTAGTAGCCTACTGGATTCGATCGGACCGATCAAGTCACCGTTTGGTCTCCAGTAGTGCATTTCCTGTTAGTCCGTCCGACCAAATACCATTCCCCGTCAGCCCGTTTGATCAATCTCCCTCACCGTCAGCTCGTCTGACTTACCCCCTCTCTGTCATCCGTTTACCCGTCTTTCCTTCTACCCAACTAACCGCCCGTCTCTCCGCTGTCCGCAGGGCTACGAGATGTCGCCGGCGCCGGCGCCGGTGACCCCTCTCGTCTTCCACTGGTTCTACGCCAAGGCGGCGAGCTCGGAGTCTGAACAGCAGCCGCAGCAGCCGCAGCAGCAGCAGCAGGAGCAGCAGCGCGCAGAGGCCGGCCGGCCCAGCGAGCCGGTCGACTGGCAACCGTTCTCGCGGGGCGACTCGGCGCTACTCGAGCGCGAGTATCAGGCCGGTGAGTCCGAGTCAGGACGGGGCGCGGGAGGGGGCGGGGAGGTACGGGGTAGCGGGGCGAGGGAGCGGCGCGACGGGGGCGACGGCGAGGACGGCTCCCGTGAGAATCGTCTGCAAGAGGACGTCCGAAGTGGTTCCCCCTCCTCCTCCTCACAAGAGGATCGAGAGGTGGCGCTCGTTGAAGAACAGACACGGGGAGACAGACAGAAGAGGTGTTCGTGTTCCTCCTGTTCCTCGGGCGAGTCGGGAGGACGGAGAGAGGAGGAGGAGGAGGAGGAGGATCTGACTGACGCGGAGAGCTGGCACGAGGACTGGACGCAGCTCGACTGGCTCACCGACTGGTTCGGTAATGTCCGGGAGAGCGGCGGCAGGGAGAGGAAGCGGAAGGACCAGCCGCACTGGGAGCCGTTCAGTAGGGCCGATAGCGACGCCATAGAGGCGGCCTTCCGAGCCGGTGAGTAAACGTACTCTGGGGGTGTCGGTTGTGTGTCTTGTCTCAAATTTGTCGCTGGTATTGCTTAGAGTTGCATGCTACAACTTATGGTCAATTAATTGTTTTCTTTTGAAGGTCACCATTTGATTTAATTAAATGTCCTACACATAAGCCATTCACCATTGAAATCTGAGAATACTGAAACATGATCCATTTTCACTTTATTTTGCATTTGAAAATCTGGTAATCAAATCTGAGTCCTGGCAATGCGGTTTTCGTGCCTGTATTCTATTCTTTCTGCAATCTGGTATTTGTTTAATGTCTTATCTTATCTCAAATGTCTCATTTCTCTCTCATCTCATGCGATACCTTCATATTTTAGGGGCCCCACGATTAACTCTTTTGCTCCTGATTGCCAATAGGTTTACCATCGTGCATCGTGCATAAAAAACCTTGCGGCATTTCACTTGTGCTTTGAAATTGACTACTGATATGCATTTTTGTAGAATTTTACATAATCCGGCGATTTGTCATCTTTCGTGTTTCACTGTTGGTGCTAAATGTCACAAATGTCCCTCAGTCCGTAACTCTTCCGTTAGGGCTTGGCGGAAAAGAGAGCGTGCTGCCTGTTTCTAGACTGGGATTTCGCTCTGTTTTTGAATGCTTTTATTTTGATTTTCCTATAAAGTCATATGGAGTTAAAGCTAGGGTTAACCCTCGCCGGCCGAGGGGGGGGGGGCGGGTGCCGCCCCCCCCCCCCATAGGGTTTTTTTCGCGATAGCTCCGAACACGCTGGCGATAGAGAGCTGAAACTTGGCATACCTGACCTTTGATTCAAGCCGGATCTTTTGACACCAACCGCATTTTTGGGTCAGGTCAGGTCACTGACCTATGACGTCATAAGTGAACCTCTGCACGGTCTTCAGATGTCGCAACTTCGCAACGCCCTCACTGCCAGAGGAGATGTCGCAGGGAAATGAAACTTGCAGGATCTAGTATCCATTATGAGTCTTACAACTTGTATATCTCGGATTTTTCCTAAAGGTCATATGAGGTCAGGTCATTTTCGTGACCTCACCATTATAAGTCAATGGGGAAAAATGAAAACTGCTATTCTGGCGCCGGGAACGATCTCCAACTATCTCAAGCACACAGAATCGTGATTTGATGCACTCCTTTCAAGGTTAGATGCGTCACTTTTGCAATGTTGACCTTGCGTGACGTCATTTATGACGTCATCAAGGTCATATTCGTTTTTCGTCAATAACTCTTGATCAAATTGAGCTAGCGAGTCGGGAAAGCCACCAATGGACTCAGGAAGACCTGCCGAATCGAATGATATGCGACATGACCTCTTTCGACCAACTTCGTGACCTGGGGGTGCTGACCTGACCTTGACCTGAGGTCAACACCCCAAGTTGACCTGACACGAACAAAAAGTATATCATTCGTATCATTCGACGCGCCTGAGCGAGACAAACACGATGCTGCCAAAATCGCGGCTCTGCGGCCATTTTTTGCGAAGTTATTCACCAAAAACTGAACCGTACCTTGGGGCACTTGACCTGACCTCAGAGGTCACCGGTTGACCTAGGACCTTAAAATCGGGTACCAATCTCTGTGTCTCGTAACGGCGCACACGCTCGTTTTTTCCGCGACGCGCTAGCTCCACCAGGGGCGAAACGGCGAGGGGGGGTCGTACCCGCCCCCCCCCCCCCCTCGGCCGGCGCGTATGTAGAAAACCAATAGTTCCGGCGAGGGTTAAGTGATGAAGTGCATGTTGGTTTTTGTCGAGCCGTATCGAATAGTACGGAGTTTGTCATACAAAATATATACACAAGAGAAAAAAGGGACAATGCCTCCTAGAGCCCGTCTTTCCCCGCTGCCCCGATCCCCTCCGGTGACCCCCGGTGACCGGTCGGCAGGCGCGGGCCGACTGGAGCCCGTCTCCCCCGCTGCCCCGATCCCCTCCGGTGACCCCGGGTGACGGTCGGCAGGTACGGGCCGGCTGGTACCGGTGCTCGGCCGGCGCTACGACGTCGACGTGGCAGCCCGCTCGCTGCTGCCCGTCTACTGGGAGTGCGCTCCCGGCACGGTGCGCCGCTGCTCCTGGTTCTCTCGCGGCGTGCACGAGGCCAAGTTCATGCCCTATGAGGAGCACGTGGCTGAAAAACTGGAGGTGAGGTGGCGCGAGCTCAGGAGCCGCCGGTATGCTGTGGTTGTTCGGGCGCGAAGATCACGTAGTGGGCAAGCATGTAAATGAACAGGAATACAGAAGTTGGGCTGAACATGTTCGGAAAGTTTGAAGTCGGACGGAAAAATCATCCACATTCAAATGTATGCATATCGCGAAAATTTCTTAGGAAAACCTTTCGGATAATTACTGAACCTTTCCTGACCGTCCGTCGGTTCCTGCTCACAGGTGATATACGGGAGTCGTCCCGGACGGGCCAGTGGCACCGTGAACCATCCTTGACCGTCCCTGAACTATCCCTGACCGCCCGTCTGCCGTTTCCTGCTCACAGGAGATATACGAGGAGTCGTCTCGGACGGGCCAGTGGCACCGCGACGTACAGCTCGGGGAGGAGGGCTACGTGGTGCTGCACTCGCCCGGCTGCCTGGTCCACCACCCGGGCATCACCCACGCCTGGGAGGAGGTCACCATGCCGGTAAGGAGGGTGACACGGACGAAACACTCCCCCCCCCCGCCCGCCCGGGCATCACACACGCCTGGGAGGAGGTCACCATGCCGGTAAGGAGGGTGACACGGACGAAACAATGAGCACAGAAACGTCATGTACCGTATGACTCTGTAGGCAGAACTACCTTTCGCACATGAAAATTCGGCTGGCACAGGCCTGGATTCCTTGCATAGCGGTTTCGAGCCGTGCGGCACAGTATACCCGTCAGGCGGTCCGGGCCCTGCGGCACAGTATATCCATCAGGCGGTCCGGACCGTGCGGCACAGTATATCCATCAGGCGGTCCGGACCGTGCGGCACAGTATACCCGTCAGGCGGTGGCGTGCGGTGCGGCACAGTCTATCGCCCAAAGCAGTTCGGTAGCTTTTAGAGCAAAACGGTTATAACGTTTTATTTTTATTTTGGTGCCAAATATGACGGGAGAGATGGGTACTTTTGTTCGTTGTTTCTATGTGTGGTAGGTACCATGAAATGTCAATCCGTAATAGTTGATTCTTTTTAGTTGTAAATTGACTCTTCAGCTCGATGCATCGTTGATCAATTAAAATCTGGAATAGCTCGGATCGGGGCTCCTTGTAAATGTTTACAGACCTCTTATTGATGGAATAGTAGCTGCATCAAAAATGTGTTTACATTCGAGCCGATGTTATCGTTTTGAAGGTTACTGTTAGGTAGCACCGATAATCCATACTGCTTTTCCCGTTCATGGCTCGTGACGAAGGCTCGTGACGAAAATGCAATGTGTTATAACTGAAACGTTTTAACTGTGGTATTTCAGTTCCTGTAGTACTGCCCTCCCATTTAGCCTGACCTTAGTATTTCTGTTAACTGATGGTCATCCTTGTAATTTGAATTGAATGCCCACTAGTGACCAGTGTTATTCGTTCTTCCTTTCATTTTCCTTTCATCAGCCATTCAGCCATTATTCCACACATGTGTATGTGTTGCTCAGTGCTTACTATGCCCCGACGATTTTTTTGTATGTCTCGGAACACAGGTTAGCCTTGTCATCTGTAGCTCGGCATAGCTGCGGTGCCGGTCGCCGCCGTCAGCCGGTAGCTGCGCTCCGTCACCCCGCCCTCTCCCCCGCAGGACGACCCGAGCCGGCCGCGGCAGATGCGGCGCGGATGGAACACGGTCGAGGGTGCCGGCATCCCGGCCGACGAGCCCGAGCTCGTCAACCACCTGGTGTTTGTCGTGCACGGCATCGGCTCCTGGTGCGACCTCAAGTTCCGCAAGGTCACCGAGTGCGGTCAGTGGTGCAGAGAACTGGGGGAAGGACTGCACTGGGGATGGGTACTGATATGGAGACAGAAGACTTGTTAAAAGAAATCAATAGCATAGCCATATCAGACTGAAATGTACCCAGTCCTGCATGCCCCCACCCTCCTTTCTCAATACACAGTCCTGCTATGATGTCCCCTAAGCGCCGACTGACCCTCCTCCCTCTTCATGTTCAGTGGACGGCATGACCTTAGGCCCCGACCACCCTCTCCCTCCTCCCCGCACACCCAGTGGACGACATGCGGCCGCAGGCGGCCCACCCTAGGCCCTGACCGCCCCCTCCCTCCTCCCTCTATACCCAGTGGACGACATGTGGACGATGGCGGCCGACCCCAGGCTCTGACTGTTCCCTCCCTCCTCTCTGCACACCCAGTGGACGACATGCGGACGATGGCTGCGGAGATGGCGCGCTCCCACTTCAGCTCGGCTCTCTCCGCGGGCCAGCTGGGCCGGGTCGAGTTCCTACCCATCAGCTGGCACCACGCGCTGCACGGCGCCGCCGGCGGCCTGGACGAGGCGCTGCGGCTCATCACACTGCCCAGTATCCCGCTGCTGAGGGAGTTCACCAACGACACCATCGTGGACGTGCTCTACTACACCAGCCCCATCTTCTGCCAGGTGGGGGAGCGAGGACGAACAGAGCACCGTTTGCACGGTACAGGGCTGAACGGTGACACCATGACACCATGTAGAACTTGAGAACCGTTGGATGAAAACATTACACATCGTGTGGCAAAACACTGGCATGAATTCTCTGCGGCATTATAGCCATCAGTGCAAATCTGAAACGTTTCAATTGAACGCGTTCCGTATCGTAATGTGTTCAAGGTTTAGTGAGCCATCAGACGCCTTTGTCACTGCCTGCAGACCACTTATCCGTGTGTCTTTTCTTTGGCTAGGTGATCCTGAAAACGGTGGGCGACGACATCAACTCCATCTACGGCAAGTTCTGCGAGCGTAACCCCGAGTTCCGCGGCTCTGTGTCGGTGGCCGGCCACAGTCTGGGCTCGCTCATCCTGTTCGACCTGCTCTCCAACCAGACCGGCGAGGCGCCAGACGCGGAGGTCCGTGTCAGCGACTCGGGGCTCGGGACTCTACCTGGAGGCTGTTGCTTTGTTCTTGATGCCTACCCCACTATATTTTTACCACTTGGTGATTAATGCTTAATACTCGGCTCTCAGTACTTGTAACTCGAAGTTCAAGTGTCAGTTTATTTTTCATTTGTCTTTTGCTTTAATTTTTTATCAAGTTTCTGATGGCACCTGTCCCGTTTCTGTCAGCCAGTCTGAGGCAGCTCAACTGTCCCAGCAGCCCCTGCCTGCCTCTAACCTCTGGCCCGCGCTCCTCAGCCGTCGTCGGAGAGCCCCGAGGACGGCCAGCTGTCGGAGGAGGAGCGGTACTCGGCGCTGCTGCGCGCCCTCAGTCTGGAGCAGCACGGCGACACTCTGCGCCGGGCAGAGGTGACGGACGTGGCCACCCTCCGACTGCTCACCGACCAGGACGTGGAGGAGCTGGGGCTGCCGCTGGGCGCCCGCCGCCGACTCCTCCACTGGAGGGACAAGGCAAACAATAAGGTACGGCGGTGTGACGGGGTGGGGCGGGAGGTCCTGGCGTCTTGTGGACTAGAACTGAAACTGTTTTCAATATACTAATCTGAAAACTTAAATATTTTGCTAGGGTCTATTTTATATGTATTTGTACCCCGCCCGTACCAAGACCCGCGCAACACACTTGCCGCGTGTCTGACCCGCTCTGCCCTGCCGCTCCAGCCGGGTGTGGACACGGTTACCGTCTCGTACGACACGAACACGGGACAGCCGGCCATGCATTACCCGCAGCTGGCCTTCAGGCCGGCCTGCTTCTTCGGCATGGGCAGTCCCATCGGTCAGTGACGGCCGCTGCCGGTGGCTCTGGGAGCGGGGAGGCGACAGGAATAGAGTAGGTGGGGAGTAGGAGTGCGATGGAAACAGGGCGGTGCTTTGAATGAAGTGGAGTTACTACAGCGAGAGTATTTGGTGGGTGAATTAATCATGCTTCTTTTGGACTTTGTAGTTAGGCGTTTTTACTCTGTTGTCCTTATTACGCTTTCGAGTATTTTGCGATATTATATCAACATTTGTCATTTTCAAATTAATTTCAATTTTCAGTTTTTGTTCTTGTGTGTGACTAAACATGGAACTTAAGCTGTATTAAGCATAGACTCACTATTGTGGCCTGGCCGACTGGCGCGACCTGACCTTTCTGACTGCCGTTTTCAGCGCTGTTCCTGCGTATCCGCGGCGTGAGCCAGCTGGGCGCCGAGTTCCGTCTGCCCACGTGTGGCAGCGTGTTCAACATCTACCACCCGTTCGACCCGGTCTCGTTCCGCATCGAGCCGCTGATCGACGCCGCCAACGTGCGCCGCCGGCCCGTGCTCGTGCCCCACCACAAGGGACGCAAACGCATGCACCTTGGTGAGAGGCTGGTGGGAAGGGCGAGCCGGGGGTAGCGGGGAGAGGGCGCCAGGTGTTGGCGGGGGCTGGTGGTTTTGTGAACTTGAGCTGCTTTAATGTTGTGTTTTCGTTAAAAACATTCGGACAGAGCTTTGTGAAGCGTTAGTGTCCTCATTGCCCGGAATATGGCGTTAGCCGTCCAACGTGCTGTTCTATTCTATCCCTACAACAACAACAACAAAACACATTTATTAGACATAAAATGGAAATAAGTAAATAGTCCAGGTGGTGGTGCAAAAGCTGATGCTTAACCCTAGAACGCCTAGGGGGGGGGGGGTTGTATCAACCCCCCCCCCTGAGGTTTTTTCGAAGTGCACGCTAAACGGCTTGTCGTAGCGGGCTGAAATTTTCAATACCCTCTGGGGCAACCTTTGCGCATCTTTTGCCGAAAAAAAATTGATCGGGTCATGTCAGGTCACGGAGTTATGACGTCATAAGAGGTACAGCCTCCGGCCGGATTTTCACAAACTGAGTGCCAACGCCCGAGGTTTCCTGCCGGTGGTACGGACATCGGTTGATGGATCGTGATGAAACTTCCCATGCATGTTGGGGCAAGTATTGGCTATCATATGGTATAAGAAATTTGACCGGGTCAGGTCAGGTCACGGAGCTATGACGTCACAAGAGGAACAGCGTCCGGTACTATTTTTGAAAAGCGCCCGAACCACTATTTTGCTAATTCTTGTCACCTCAATGGGAATATGCAGCAATATTAGCTTCTATAGGGAGCAAATGGACCTCCCAAATCCAAAAATACAATCAGATTTCAAAAATTTAAATTTTGATTTTTCGAATTTCTGCCGCCGACTGTGACCTTGCCGACTTCCGGCGCTCCCAACGCGCCATTTTTAGAGCTAGGGAAACGAAATACATACCAAACGATAGAGAATTGATCAAGGAACACGATAGTGAAGGTTTCAAGTCGATATCTCCCACCGTTTTGCCGCAATCGCCGCCGAAAGTTGAAAAAGTCTATTTTTCCGAAAATTTGACCTTTGACCGGTCAAAAGTAGGTCAAATGTTGACCTAGGACCAAAAAATATACCACCAATCGCGAGATCTCGTTGAGAGCAATCCGTTGGTTTTTTCCGCTAAGCTCTACGACCTTCCGTTTCGAAACGCCAGGGGGGGGTCGTAACAACCCCCCCCCCCCTGGTCGTTCGTGTTATGAGAAATGGCCTGGTCGTGCGAGGGTTAAATCGAGGCACCACCACCTGGTAACGTAAACAGAATAAATGAATATGGTACAATCCAGGGCCGCGGAGAGTCAGGTCGGCTGCCGCGACAGTTTGCATTGATAAGCGGTGATAGCGGGCCGGCGCCAGTCCACTGAGACGGGGCTATATCAGTCTGCTACAGCTCATCCACTTGTTATCCGACCTCACCACTTATGACTGCTGCAGCTGACTGATTCCTCCCCATTCCTCCCCGCAGAGATCAAGGAACATGGTGTACTGTACTGACCGACCTTCTCCCGTCCTCGCCTCCCCGCAGAGATCAAAGAGCATGGTGTACTGACTGACCTTCTGGCTTCTCCCGCCCTCGCCTCCCCACAGAGATCAAGGAGCAGGTGGTTCGGATGGGCACAGAGCTGAAGCAGCGGCTCATGTCGTCTCTGCAGAGCACCATCGGCTCCGTGTACAGCCTGGGCTGGATGTCGACCACCGAGACCTCTGCCTCGGTCACTGCCGACATGGACACGACGGAGGAGACGACGGACGGACAGCAGCAGCAGCAGCAGCAGCCACAGCAGGAGCAGACGGGGGAGCCCACAGGACCGGTCAGTGCGACCCCACCTGAGGACGGGCATATTCCTTGAAAGCGGCGGCTATATTTTGCTCACAAGTTACACCATTTGAAATATTCCCATCTTTTGAAAGACTGGGGAAACTTATCACTCTTTCCTAAAACGCAGTGAGGGGCCGAACCATGGCTCGCCAACCCTTTTTTTAGCTATCTTTGGACATGCATACCTTTTTTAGTTGAATACCTACCCTCTTGTCACCTCTGAGTCAGCGAACACCTGTAGTTCTGACCCATCCCGACCCATCAGGTGGGGTCGCTGAACGGAGGCCGCCGCGTCGACTACGTGCTGCAGGAGCGGCCGTTCGAGTCGCTCAACGAGTACGTGTTCGCCTTCCAGAGCCACCTCTGCTACTGGTGAGTCGCGGAAAGCCTCGGCGCCCAGCAGTCAGTGCAGATATGCTGGCCCGACGCGCGTCTGTGGGTAGCATATGCTGCGTGGGCTGTGTCTACTTTGTAGTACACATTTGATGCACTGTTTGGATGTTGGATCTTTTTGTTCTTTAATGACTGTCAAGTCGATGGAGTGAGTAGTGACGCCTCCCGTTATGCCTTTCGCAGGGACTCTGAGGACACGCTGCTCATGATCCTGAAGGAAACTCTGCGGGAGTCTGGTATCGAGGCTGACAAGGTGCTGAAGACGGAGTCGTCCACGGAGGCGGAGCCAGCCGCCGCCAGCAGCACCTCGGAGGCCGCCACGGGTACAGTCACCGCCCCCGCCGCCGCCTCCGTGTCCGCCCCGACCCTGTCCGCGCCCCCGGTGGCCCCCATACCTGTGGTGGTGTCGGAGGCCGGCCCGGTGGAGGACGTACCGCTCATAGCAGCCGGGGTGCCCGGCCCACCCGCCCCGGCCGCCCCCGCCCCCGCCCCCGCTGCCGGGGCGGGCGGGGCGCGCTCGGTCGGCGGCCGGCCGCTGCAGCTGCCGCCGGCGGCGGGCGGCCCCGTCGGCATGGACCCGACCGTGGAGAGGAAGGAGGGTGCCGCGCCGCCGCCGCCGCCGCCCACGGCCGGCTTCAGGCGGAGCTAGCCGCCCCCGCCCCCGCCCCCGCCTAGCCGCCGCTCTATGTGCCTGCGAAATGACTGCGGTGGAGCCGTAACTGTAGTGCCTGGGACGCCGTGCGGGTAACGGCAGCCGTGTGTAGCCAGTGAAGCCGGTTTGTGGGACCGTTTGTGTTGTGGGGGTTGTGAGGCTGACTGCCGTGCTGACTGGATGCATGTTTCCGAACCATGGCCGGCTCCAGTCTGAACTTATCGTGAGGCTGTGCCGAACCGCAAACTGGCCAACAACTGACGACGCCAAGCCGTGAAACATGGCCCTTGTATGTATGTTTCGCTACTTTGCATGGGTCATGGGGTGTTAGCGGTGCTCAATTTTAGCACCGGGCAGATAGCTGCAAGCTTAGGGCGATTTATACGTGTGAGCAGATATCGTGTCCCGTCCAAGGTGTGAATACCAAAGCAAATTCTTGAGCAAGCTTGCTTGCCGTGAGTCCATATGGTAGTTGCTCGTAAGCCGCATATCTACCTGAATATTCTAATATGTATGTTTTCAGAACGGATTCCAACGTCACCCGTTTGTTTTGCAGTATCCTGGACTGTGGGTTCGCTGTCCAGGGCCCTGTTTCACCCGTGATAGCAGCAAGCTGCTTTTACACGTGTCAAATTGGGTTTCCATGGAAACATCAACAGGCCCATTGCTCCAACACTACCACAAGTGTGACGTCAGCTCGCGCAATTTGATAGCAGCGTGGTAGCAGCGTCCCGTGAAACACCGCCCAGTGCCCTGATAACACACATCCGCGGTAATCCCGGTCATATCAGTGGCGAGGTCAGCCCCTTTGGGGTTCAGGCTGACAGCCGGGAGTTCAGGACGTTCTGTTTGTCTCCCGTGAGTCCCTGCAGGGGTCAGCTCAGCCACGGGGACAGTCGGGTCTCCCCAGGGCTCCCCCGGACTCCCCTCTGCAGAGTACCCCGGCCCGAGTCGGTGGGGATGCAGTTCAGCTCGCGGATGGCCCCTGCCTCCGAATGGTCATAACAGCGAGTGGGGAGTTCTGATGGACTGTGAAGTCACCGGACCGAACTATACTATGAACGTTGTTGAGTGAGAGCGTGCTGTTATGTACCAGGATAATGCTGCCTAAATGGGAAAGCCTCATGTGCTTTCGTGGATACAGAAGTGTGTATTTTTGTCAGAAGCTTTTGATACGCGAGGTTTCTGTAATTTCATATATTGAGGTATGTGGTGCTTCCTACGAGGTGAATTTGAGTGTACGGCTGTGCGTAGATATTTTAGTTGGTTTGCGTGACAGTGGCCCGTAGAAGCGTGCTTTATGAATTAGGATGCTAACGGTTGACCACGGTTCGACCGTTGATGTCAATGCAAGGTATCAGGTTGTCGAAGCATATTTATCTATATGTGTGCATAATTATAGTCCGTTTTTTTTTCAGCCAGTGCACAAAGTACCCTGGATCTCCTGTGCTGGTCGGTAGTGCCCGTTTCTATCGATAGATTACTGTAATGTTTGCGTGACTGACTTGGATGGGTCTATCCTGTTGTCTATTCTGTTCAAGACAGTTATTATTTGACGCCTTTGTTTTTCTTTGATGATATCTTTCAATAAGGTAGGTCTGGACACACTTTTATGGACGCCTGACGTTAAATCACACAAAAATCCCAAAGTCTTGTTGCGGTTGATGGCTCTGTAAGTCTTATGCGTTCCTGGCACTGCGCTCCCCAATACAAATACTTTGATATTCTTTGGGTGTTTGTTTTGCTGGGGAGGCGGCAGCAGTAGGGCCTTGTCTGTGTTTCGCTGTACTTTGGTCGTTGGGCCGTCTGGAGCGGACGGGGACGGGCGATGAGGGGTGGGTGGGTGTTGTGGACACGGCTGGGTCCGGAGTCACACCCGGTGCAGCGGTACACGGCGGGCCGAGCTGAGCTCTCAGCCAGCTGCAGGCTGACCTCGGGAGGACGGCTGGGCCGGGTACCTACTGCACCGGGCCCGGCCGGGTACCTACTGCACCGGGCCCGGCCGGGTACGTACTGCACCGGGCCCGGCCGGGTACCTACTGCACCGGGCCCGGCCGGGTACCTACTGCACCGGACCCGGCCGGGTACCTACTGCACCGGGCCCAGCCGGCACTGGTGGAGGCTGCCGGCCAGCCTGTGACCTGGGGTCAGAGGTCAACTGTGGGAGTTAACTCGTCACAGGTGTCCCCACCCGCCCAAACACACAGGGGAACACGGTGTAACCGGTCGTATATTGGGGATATGTTGGGCTGTCGTAGCTCCGATAGCGAGTCTACGACCCACTTTGACACGTTCAATCGACACCGGCATGTATCAGGCACCGACACCGCCACCGGCGTGCCACACCGCCATTCGCCACCGTGACGAAAATACATGGCGCCTGGACAATGTGACTAGATTAAACTTCTGTTGAGTACTCCGCTCTAGGCTCTTGGGACCTGGGACTTGACAATATTCACAAGAAACACAGGAAAACGTGCCTCACAAAGTTGTCCACGATGGGCACTGGGCAGTTCTGTTTAAAACGCAAAATGTGACATAAGAAAGGTGAGCAGCATTCCTACCGTTACAGGCAATGAAATAAGCCTGTAAACCTGGCAAGTCGAGTGCCGATGGCTAGACCTTGGGGAGCTGCCGTGTCGCTCAATGAGCAGCTGAGGGTCTGAGATTGAGCCTGGCACGTGGCCCTTCCGTGTCTCAGCTAAACAGCTGGCACCAACCGCTGACCACTTCTCTGCTGGAAGGCTCAGCGGCTTCTGAGCACAATCAGTGCTCATCACTTCGGTGGAGGCTGAACTGCCGCCATTGGCAGAGACCTAGGCTCCGATTCTCGTTGTGATCATGGCTCGAACGGCAGCAGACGACGTGCCACCGACGACAGTCGTCTGTCACCAGAAGACGATCAGACGGACACTGAACAGACGGACTGGCAGACGGGCAGACCGACGAGCTAGTTGAAGAGCAGGTCGTTGTAGTGGCTCAGCAGGTAGGCGTTGGTCACCTTGCACGTGGTCGACGTTCGCACCACAGTAGACCGGTCGGCCCGCTCGAAGTTGGACTTGACCACCTCGTAGTATTTGCCGTCACTGAGAGCAGAGAGGACGCAGACTGTGATGTGTGACTCTGGAGCAGAGGCTGGGGTTGGTACTCAGTGAATCAACAATCCAGTGTCAGGTCAGGAACAATGAAAATTGTCAGGAGGAGCAAAGCATTGATTTCATGCGGGAACAACGCTGTCTTTCTCTTCTTTCAACCTTAAACTGGATCCCATCGTATTTCAATTCAAACTTTTTTGCACTCCCCGCTGACCCTCACCTGAGCCCCTTCCCCACCTACCCTCCTCCTTGGCCCCTCACCTAAGAACCAGACAGCGCAGCTTCAGGCAGAGCACGACCCCTCCCCTCACCTACCCTCACTCCCCTAACCTGAGCCCCTCCCCTGGCCCCTCACCTGAGCACCAGACAGCGCAGTCTCAGGCAGCGCACGGTCCCCCCCCCCACACACACACATATCCCCTCCCCCTGACCCTCACCTGAGCACCAGACAGCGCAGTCTCAGGCAGCGCACGGCCCCCCCCCCCCCCCCACATACATATCCCCCTGACCCCTTACCTGAGCACCAGGCAGCGCAGTCTCAGACAGCGCACGCCCCCCCCCCCCCTCCTACATATCCCCTCCCCCTGACCCTCACCTGAGCACCAGACAGCGCAGTCTCAGGCAGCGCACGCGGACGGCGTCGATGGCCTTCTGACTTTTGTCGGAGAACCGGATGGTCTCCGGGTCCCAGCAGATCTCGAGCCGCTCCAGCTGACTGCAACTGGTGGCCAGCGCGTCCATTATCTGATCCACGGGGATCTTCTTACTGAGACCCTCCAGCGTGAAGGTGCCCATCTTCAGGATCCTGCACGGACGGATACGAAGTCAATAGGTGAACGCCATGCTGTGTGTGCCAGTCGGCACGTGTTGTTGGATAATACGGTTCGGGCATGAAAATGATACTACGTGATACGTCGCACAGTGCTTGCTTACGAGTTCAAGCGGAAAGGCCGGCGGCACATGCTGTTTCGTCGTGAATTTCGCGAGTACTCCAGTCACGCGCCGCAGCTGCTGAATAACGCAGCGCCGTGACGTAATGTGACGCAATTGTCTGGACGTGACACTGCGAAATAAACTGTCACGGCACGCAGGGGCGTGCGGCTCGTACTCGGGATTTCTCGGGCGGTCGACTTAGCGTTCCGTTTATTACTCTCTTCGTTCTGCGTTACAGGGGGCTGAGCCGTGGAGGAGAGGGATTTAACTGACCTGAGGATGGAAGTGACGGGACGGTCGCTTACCTGACGTTCTTCAGCGCCGGGATGACCTTGAGCCAGAGGGAGTCGCTGACGTGCGGGATGCCGGAGAGCACCAGGCCGTGCAGCTGGTGGCCGTACTTGTAGAGGAAGGCGAACAGGCCCTCCTCCGAGAGACTGTCGCACAGGTCCAGGTCGAGCGCCGTCAGGTTGCGCGGGTTGCCCTTCTCGATGTAGGCCTTCAGAACCTGGTCGGTGAAGCCGTCCTGCTGGCCGGCGCTCAGCCACCTGGCGGCGGCGGACGGAGAACACAGTTATATTTAGTAGCGGTAGGAGCCTCGAATAGGGTAAATTTCTCTGAGCTTCCTTCTTCCTTTGCTTCCTTGAGGGACACGAAACGATATAGCAGGGGCCATGATGGCACTCTTGTCAAGTAACTACGGAGCTTGCAACACAGGGCCACTCTCGTTATTCTGGTGAGCGGATCTCGGTGTCCTGGGAAGCAGGTGAGCAGATCTTTTAGAAAAGGTGCTTTAACCCGCGCGGGGCTGGGGGGGGGGGAGAAATTTTACCCCCCCTCGCGAATTTTTGCGATATCTCAAAAACGGCGGCGCGCAGCGCCGCCAAACTTTCAGTACCTTTTCTTACATCAATTTGACACGTTCCCTGAAAATTTGAGCGAAATCCGTCGGAAAATTTTTGAGAAATTGACGTTTTAGTGACGTCATGTTCGCCATTTTCGCCTCAAAAACGGCAAAAGTTCAAACGCCGCTAACATCTTCATTTTTAAAGGAATCAAGACGTAACAAAAAAGGTTATACGTAATTTTACTTTGTCTATTAAATGACTAGCTCGGTTTTTTGAAAATTTTGGATTTTGGCCAAAATTTTTTTTCAAAAAACTGACTTTTTTGGGAAAATCATTATAAAATCCAAAATTTTGAGTCTATCGAAAAAAACGGAATATATGTCAGAGAAGTGGTCTATGTGCACCTACATACCAAATTTTAGAAGAATCGGTTCAAAAATGTGGGAGTTATTCAAAATTTTATGACGTCACGACACACAAAATTTTTGAAAAATGACTTTTTTGGAAGTTCTAGACCTCGTACGGAAACAAAAATAGCACCATTCGATTCGCCGTGAAAAACTGCATCAGATAGACACCTTTTTAGGCCTTAACAACCAACTTCAAAATTTGACCTCACTTGACCTGACCTTGACCTGACCTCGACCTGAAATTCATCCAGAGGTGGTCCATATCACTTATTGAGTGTGCC